TCTGGGCAGTGGGTGAGATGGTGTAACTCAGGGGCTCAGAGTCACCCTGGCCCGGAGCTTCTTTGCTGCTTGACATTGGACAACTCACTTCCCTTCTTGAGCCTCGGTTTCCCCACCGCAACACAGGGTTCAGAATGCATCGCCTGCCGAGAGGGTGATGGGAACAGAGACTATAAGGTGCCCAGTGAGGGCCCAGCACCCATACCGGGGTCCCCTGGATATGAGGGTGCTGTGATCAGGTTTCCTGCTCCCTGGGGTCAGGCTGGCCTGGGAGATGCCCAAGAATGCCAGCAGGTCCCAGAGCCCGCCTCCCCTGTGCCCTCTCTCACAGCTGGACAGTGAAGCATCAGTGTGTGGATCTGCTGGCCGAGGGCCTGTGGGAGGAGCTTCTTGATGACGAGCAGCCAGACATTACTGTCATGGACTGGTACTGCCTCCCCCCACCAGGGTGCACACAGGGGCTCCCCAGGGCACAACCCCGCCCCGCCCTCCCCTTTGGTCTGAGCCTCCCACCAGGACTCTCCTGTCCCTGCAGGACCCAGCCCTGCCCACCTCTGTGGCCCCTTCTCTCTGACACCTTCAGGTTTTGAAATGTGCCAGGCCCAAGGCTGTTCTTTCCTCTTCAGATGCTTGTCTTTCTCAGGACGATTCGTCCTTGTCCTTCAGGAGTCAGTTACACATGGCTCCACCGGGAAGCCTTCCCTGACCAGCCCCCATGCTGGTCCTGACTATTCCTGCTGGTCACTGCCTCCCCACTGGACTATGAATCCCAAGAGGGGCGGGCAGGGGGCTGTGTTGCCAGCACCAGCCAGCCCAGGGGCACGGGGGTGGGGGGTGTCAGTGAATGGTGCTAAATGGTGATTGGGGCAAGACATTGGCATGGGGATGTTGGGTCTGAGGTGGCAGCTGAAGGCCTTCCCCCACCCCCAGGTTTGAGGACAGCCGGCTGGACGTGTGTGTCTATGAGTTGCACGTCTGGCTGCTGGCAGCTGACCGACACACCATCATTGCTCAGCACCATGTGGCCCCCCGGACCTCTGGGAGGGGCCCTCCTGGCCGCTGGGTCCAGGTGAGACTCCCTACCCCAGCTGCCAACCCAGACCCGTCCCAAGACCTCACAGAGGAAGGAGGGGGGAGAGCAGGGCTCATGGGTCCCTAATAAGGACTTCTTTCTGACCCGCTGCTGCCACAGGTGTCCCACGTATTCCGCCAGTATGGCCCTGGTGTGCGATTTGTCCACTTCCTGCACAAGACAAAGAACCGCATGGAGGCTGGTGGGCTGCGGCGAACAAGGGTGACTGACTCCTCCGTGTCTGTGCAGTTCAGGGAGTGACTGGCTGTTTTGACCCCTTGTCTCAACCTGAGTGTCTGACTTCACCGCCCCCCTCCCCAAACGGAGGGCAGGGACCATGTCTTCCCGAGGCAGTGCTCAAAGACAGTAGGTGCTCAATAAATCCTTGTTGACTAAACCAGTAAACACCTGTGCCCAAGGATTCTGAGTATTTTGCCATCTTTGCTCCTTAGAACTTTGCTGAGTTCCCAGCCCACTCGCACACCCTCTGCTCTGTGACCCTCCAGCACCTCACACCTCCTCCACCTCCCATGCCTCCCTTAACCTCTGATCTCTTCACATACCTCCACCTTATGGTCTCTTAGCATCTCCACCTACCTCCTTCCCCCACATTTCTTAGCTCTCAGAATCCCCCCGAATTCTCCTCCTCCATCCAACCCCAAGTTGTCCTTTCCCCTGAGCTGTCCCCATACCTTTCCTTCCCCAAGACCCACAATTCTCTCCTTTAG